GGAAAGAGACGCCCATCCCAGGAAAAACCTGGGGTTTCCTGCGCGCCCCGCTCTGATGGTGCTTTATCTGCAGCTGGGGTTGGCACTCTGAAGCAATCAGCAACTCTTCACATCATCTTTCGTGACTGTTGAAGCAGTCACTGGTAATCCCCAGGTTGTCAGCATCCATAATGTTGTCCCACTCATCATCTTCAGTCCTGCTTCTCCAGCACTTTGTGACACACAAATAGCAACAGTCACGCAAGCACCAGCTACACACACAGGTGTGCAAACATACACGTCCTGAGCTCCACAGAACACGAGGAGTACATTTAAAAGTGTAAACAAACGATGAACACTGCAGTGACACACACAAGTGAGAACTTAAAAATAATTATAAATATAAATAATAATAATAATAAATTAATAATATAATATAATTATAATATATAAATATATATATTGTTTAGGAATATTCTGAACAGTGGTTTATGAAGAAATGGAAAATGTGAAAGCACTGCTTTCTCCAGCAGAGCCCACACAAGTAGTTACACTGCTACCTCCCAAAGCATCTTTTTGATCCAAACCTTTCTGAAACAGCAGCACTGATGTTTCTGTGAACTGAGGTAGAACCATGGGCATGACAACATCCATTTTACTCCATTCCTGGAATAAAAACCTATTTTAATGCTGGGTAAACAGATTTCTTTCTCTTGATGATGGGATATTGCTACACAAAGGTAAAAGTCAAGTACATTGTTGCTGGAAGCTGCCTGACTCATCCAATCTGATATCACTACCTGATTTATTTATTTTTCCCATTGAACAAGTTGTTTCCCATCCTCAAGAGCAGAAAATTTAACCCTGGAACAGCTTCTGCAGCACCACCTTTGGCTTTTCAGATGTGAGTCTCTGATAGCTGCAGTGGATGTGAGGGTGGGTTTTGCTTGAGCACCTGAATGATGGTGCAGGAAGATGAAGGAAGGGAAGAAACTCCTGAAATGTGCACAGAACACTTCTAGTTCCTGGCTGAGGTCAGGAAAGTCTCTCTCACATGTGGCAATTCACACAAATTGACAATAAATAAAGAGTGGTTCATGTTATTCCAGACCCAAAGACTATTCTCAGTTGGAGCTGCAGTTTTCAGTCTTTCACTCTTTGAAGAAACCAGCCTGGACCAACAGAGAAACCTGTCTTGGGAGGGGGCTCTCGAGGCCACCCAGTCCAGCCCAGTGCTCAGAGCAAGGCTACTGGCCGCGTTAATCCCACACTCAGCCACTTTCAGTGTGAGTTTCCCCCCCATATATCTAAGTGGGATTCCCCAGCAAGTTGTGACAGCTGCTTTTTGCACTTTGATTGGAGGGGCTGGAGACAAGTCTGCCTTTTCTGCAAATGTTTATATAGCTGGCAGCTGCTATTAGACCCCTTCCCCAGCCATCACCTCTCCCAGCTGAAGGGACCCAGATCCTTCAGCCCCTTCTGGGGTGTCATGTGGGGCAGGACAGAACTTCAGCACCTCCAGGAGGACTGGGAAAATCAACCACTACACACACACACACACACACATAAAACAAAAACAAAAACCCCCATAGTAAGGCAGGAGGAACTTTTTGGATTTTTTTTCTCTGCCCTTCAAGGAAGAGACATTGCATCACATGGGTTCTTACAGAGAAGTTTCTGAGGAAGCAAGGCTGACTTTCACCACACATACGTGCTTCCAAAGTTTCCTGCCCGCAGGTATGAACTGCTCAGCTCTCACTGTTAAAGGGCCTGGGTCAACACTTGTAAGATTACAGTTAGAAATTCCCAGTGCCACAGCTACACCTCGATAGTGAGACATTTGAACACATGGAAGCTATTTGCTGAAGGCTTGCTGTGTAGCAAGTCATTATTTGCACGCACAATATTTACATAACACTGTGCATGACACTGAGCTGCACCAGGCTAGTAACAAACACTAACGTTCATTAGGAACTGCAGGTAATGCCCAACCTCAAAATAGCTGTAAGCCTTTTATTTAAATGACAAGTTTCTTTAAAATGGTAAGTTTTTGTTACTTGCAAAGCCATATGATTTTTTTTTTCCTAATAGTAAAAAGTGCTGTAGCTTGTTTAAGCCCATCAAGAAAGGACTCTCTTTTCTTTAGGCTGTGGATCCCTCACCAAATCACAGAATCATAGGATGGTTAAGGTTGGAAGGGACTTTAAAGATCATCAGATTCCAACCTCTCTGCTACGAGCAGGGACACCCCACACTAGACCAGGCTGCACAAGCCTCACCCAACCTGGCCCAGAACACCTCCAGGGAGGGGGCTTCCACAGCCTCTCTAGGCAGCCTATTCCAGTGCCTTCCTACCCTCACGGTGAAGAATTTCTTCCTGATGTCTAACCTAAATCTCCCTTCTTTCAGTTTAAAACCATTATCCCTTGTCCCATCACTGCCTTCTCGGGTGAAAAGTCCCACCTCCGATTTCTTGTAGCTCCTTCAGGTAATGGAAGGTGCTATAAGGTCTCCCTGGAGCCCCTTCCAGGCTGAACAACGCCAACTCTCTCATCCTGTCTTCACAGCAGAGGTGCTCCAGCCTTTTGATCATCTTGGTGGCCCTTCTCTGGACCCTTTCCAACGGTCTGTATCTTTCTTGTGATGAGGGCACCGGAACTGTACACAGTGCTCCAGCTGGGGTCTCACCAGAGCAGAGCAGAGCAGAGCAGAGGGGCAGAATCACCTCCCTGGCCCTGATGGCCACACTTCTTTTGATGCAGCCCAGGATACAGTTGCTCTCTGGGCTCCAGTGCACACTGGTGGCTCATGTCAAGCTTCTCACTAACTACCACCCCTAAGTCTTTCTCCTCAGGACTGCTCTCCAGCCATTCTTCCCCCAGCCTGTATTTGTGCCTGGGGTTGCACCAACCCAGGTGCAGAACCTTGTACTTGGCCTTGTTGAACTTCATGAGGTTGGCATGGGCCCACCTCTCCAGCCTGTCGAGGTCCCTCTGGATGGCATCCCTTCCCTCTTGAGTGTCAACCACACCACAGCTTGGTATCATCAGCAGACTTGCTGAGGATGCACTCAATCCCTCTGTCCATGTCACTATTCCCAATACTGACCCTTGGGAAACACCACTCATCACATGCTTCCACTTGGACATTAAGCCATTGACCACAACTCTCTGGATGTGGCCATCCAGCCAATCATCCACTGTGTGGTCTGTCTGTCAAATCCATATCTTACCAGTTTGGAGACCAGGACGTTGTGTGGGACAGTGTCAAATACTTTGCACAGGTTCAGGTAGATGACATCAGTTGCTCTGCTACCATCCACCATCTCTGTAGCCCCATTGTAGAAGGCCACCAAATTGGTCAGGCATGATTTGCCCTTAGTGGAGCCATG